AAGCTGACACCTGAGGAATTATTCTTACTTTCCTGACCAGCACAATTTCCATCATTATGCATGGTTAAATCCTAAGTCATGAGTGGTAATTAATCAATATCCAGTTGGAGCTGGGGTGTCTCAGGTTGGCACATGCAGTTTCCTGCAAAAGATGCAGTTTGTCACAAAGCGTTTTCCAGTGGCGAGGCACCAGTCATTAATTTTACTGCTTTAAAGAGGATTTTTTTTTATTGACCCCACTACTTTGACTAAACATCAGGTTTTATATTTTAAAACAGTAATTAAACTACATACATAGACTTCCAGCATGGAAACGGGCCATTTGACCCAACTGGTCAGTCTCTGTGTTTAGCCTCCATCCGTCCTCATCCTCTTTCCAAAACCCTTCTCACTTGGGTATAGTCTCACTATTGTTTCTTAATCGTGCTGCACATTGTACATAGAAACTCTTAGGATTTCTTAATCCATTAAAGTGAATCTGTGAAAAAAAATCATAATACCGTATTGTGCTGTATAATTAGAGATTATTTATGAACAAAAAATAATGGCTCGCTCACTGGACCTGGGAGAAGAAAGCTACAAGAACAACTTGCATTCATATAGTGCCCTTCACGTGGTGTGCTGTGCTGTAATCGAAAGCATTGGATGATCTTACAAATGAGAAATAGCAAATGAATGGTTTTGTGAAGGCATCCAAATCCTGTGTTACTGTTAAAGCTTGTACTGGAGTGTGCTCCCAGCTCAGTTATTCTTTGTTTATGTTTTGTAAAGTTAACTGCCTTGCTATATCAATCGCTACTTGTGGAGATAGTTACATAGTAACAGTTTCATGCCTGAATATAGACCTTTGACACATTTTGCCTCCGAACACATTTCTTCCAACATGTTTGTGTCATCAATTACTAACGCTGAATCCTTTCAAATATGTATTCACTGGGAGCTTACGGTGTTGGTAAAAAGATGTAGGAATGCCAGTTGCTTGCCAATTTTAAGCTTTGTCCTACAAAGTCGGCAACATTTAATGTTTATTCAAAGCTGGATTTATTTGCAGAAGTGAAAAGGACAACGTAACCCAGTTTTTGGTGGTAACTTTTTATTTATTTTCAAATAAAGAAAACAGACACTATTTCAACATGCATTTCCTATAATAAATACAGAGTGATCCCATGAATGAAATGGTTTCCAATGAAAGGTTTCACAGTTTATAAATCAATTTTAATTCCCTTTGAAGTTCAACATTTTACTTCCTGCAGCTATTTGGGTTCAGATACAACCATTTCGACTACTGGTGCATGTCAGAAATAGTGCAAAGCCGCCTGAGACAGGATGTGGCACTTGGCTTTTATACTTGAAGTCCCTGCACTTTGAGGTTTTAATTAACTATCATCAGAATCATCATCAACTTATTGAGTAAGAATATATTTTTTTGACAAAGGCTGACTGTTTTGGTAGGATCTCGGCTCAGTTAGTGGCTTTCTTGGCTCTGGATAGGTAGGATGTGGGTTTAAGTCGCATTTACCAGTACTAGAGCTTGTCGTCTTGCTGGACACTCCGGTGCCATATTGGGGGAGCACTGCATGTCAGAGCTACAGTACCATCTACTTAAGATGAACATCAAAAATCCAATAACATTATTAAAAAGAAAAGGGAGTTTCCCGACGTGAAAGGCGCTATACAAATGTAATTTTGTTGTTGTTGTAATGATTAATTAGTCATTCACCTTATGCCTCTGGGTGGGACCTTGCTGCCATGTTTTCTTCCAAAAAAACGTATCAGATAATTACCATTGAAATATTTAACGTTATCTCACTGAAATATCTATCAAATGGAAATTCTTTAAATTTGCCCTGTTTTTATATACATGTGGTGGGGAGGGGGCATTTTGATTGATTTTACTCACACAATTTTTTCACATTCTGACTGAATGCTTTACTTTTTTAAAACAAAATACCAACAGTAGATGTTGGGAAGAAGCCTCCTAGTGAGGAATGTATAACTTTTTCCCAGTACAGTTGGAGATTTTAGCTAAATACAGTGCAATTCCTTTATAATGTGCTCCTTTTATAAAGACTTATTATAAAGGTTTATGAGGAATGAACAGCACAGAAATGGGCCACTTTGCGCAATCAGTCTCCCACGTGTTTAAACTCCACATGAGTCTCCACCCATTCATTACTCCCTAACATACACTTCCACGGGCATGCTATTCACTACCTCTGTGACCTCCTAACCCCCTACCAACCTGTCCATTCCCTTCGCTCAGCGGGCTCTGGCCTGCTTCACGTCCCCGGCTTTGCCTGCCCCACTATTGGCAGGTGGGCCTTCTCTGCCCTCACCCTCTGGAACTCCATCCCACAGTCCCTCTGCCTTGCCCCCTCCCTTGCTCCTTCAAAGCCCGTCTAAAGACCCTCCCCTTCGACTGTGCCTCCGGTCACTCTTCGACCCCTACCCCCTTCTCCCCATCCTCCTGATCCCAATCACCAGCAGTGTGGATCCCTGACTGCCTTGGGACATACTCCTGATGTGAAAAGCACTATACAAACATAATTTGTTGTTGTTCTATTCCCCTCTCCATTATGTGAAGGTCTTGCATCTTCTTGAATGCATCTGTACTATCTGATTCAACCACAGTGAGTTCTAGTGAAGTAGTTCCTCCTAACTTCTCTTTAGATTCCCCCAGTCACTATCTTATACTTGTCCCCTGGTTAAGGACTCCCCAACCATTGAAACAGCCTATTTATGCTAATTTTATCAAATCCTTTGATAATTTTAAACACCTCAGAGACGGTGCAGATTTGGTTATTATATGGTTGCACACCATTTAGTGTGCATTTGCACATGCAGCCTGCTGACCAACTGGTTCTCACACTGAACTGGCCAACATCTGGGTCATTAGATTACTACAGATATCACTTCCTGTGGTGTACACATAGCATCAGAAAGTGCATCAACAGAGATCTGATTACCTGGAAGTTGATAATTTTAGCTTTCCACGCTAAAAAACATGGCTGGCTTCCAGTTCATCAGGTTGTTGTTGTTGTTGTCTCTTACTATTTTTTGTGTGATGTCAGTGGTAAGATAATGACCGGAAGTCAACCATTTTTTAGTGTGGGATCTAGCTGGTACACTAGTGAAGTCCTGTAGCTCAGTGGTTAGAGCAATCGCCACGCAAGCGAGAGAAATGGGTTTGATTCCCGGCAGGGCAAAATATTGGGCAAGTTTCCTTACTCCACACACACACACCTCTGTTTACCTAGCAATACGTAAAACCTGGTTGTTAGTCAATTAGCAGATCACCTTTATGGAGGTAATAATTCCTTAAAAAAATTGGTCACTTGAATCCATGACTGTTTGTGGGACGCTGCTGTGCGCAATTGGTTGCTGCGTTTTGCCCACAAAATAGTCTATTCGCTTTACAATACATTCTGTGAAGTGCTTTGAGACGTTTCGAAGATGTGATAAGGCGCTACATCAAATGCAATTATTATATACACGGAGAAGGCTGAGCAGATGCACAATAAAACTCCCTAATGTGCTTTATTATAATACGTTGGGATTTAGATACAGTCACAGCGGTATAAACAGGCCTCCAATGTATTCTTCCTCCTTTGTCCAACAACTTGAATTAAATATCTTCAATAAGCAACATGCACATGAAATATCTGCCGATTTCATTTTATGTGAGCTATTTAATATAATTTCCTAACAATTAAATTTGGGTTGCAAACTAATTAAAGTGATAGTGTTTATAAAAACTACTGATATATGGGAGTGATTTCAAGCCTGTAATCTTATTTAGTAGATCATAACAGATATAAAGGTCTGGAGCTTTGTTCTTGTGTTGTTTTAAACTCTTGACTTTGGAATTTTATCTAAATATCCGTTGTTATCTGCATAAATTTATGGCCTTCTTAGTTGACTGATGTTGCACTGTACTGTTTGAGAGAGTGTTACCAACAGAGCCAGGCTGGCAGCATAGCATGTAAAGAGATCACCTCAGAGCTGATCAGAACTCAACATCAAATCCAAGGGCTTTCTTTAGGACTTGCATATTGTCCTGAGGCACTTCTTGAGATATTGTTCCCTTTTTTCCCCAACTAACATATTTTCACCCTTCAAAAGGAAAGAAATTGGTCAAAAACAATAAATTTGGATCCTTCCTCAACAATAGCTGATATTAGACTTCGGTTTGCTGTTATCAAAACGTTTTGCCCACAAATTATGAAGCATTTGCAAAGTTTGGATTCAGGGGTGGGGGGGGGGAGGTGGCTGCAACTTTCTAAGTAATGATGTGTAAAAAAAATCCCAAGAGTTTGTCTTGTGAAGCGCTTTGAGACGTCCAGAAGAACATGAAAAGCGCTATATCAAATGCAAGGATTATTATTATTATTAATGGCTGTTTTCATTGCCACTATTATGTTAGTGTAAACTAGGTATTAGCTGCTTGGATGTCATGACAAAATAATAGATTAAAAAAGATAAAGAGCTGCCATGAACAAATGAAGTGTCGGAGCAAATTCAATTCAATGGGCCGAATGATCTATTCCTGTTCCTACGTATGTCATTGTGTCAGCAGCTATTTCTCTGAGCTTCCAATTATTTTGCCATGCAGTCGGAGTGCTCAATGCGATATGCAAAGGTCGACTTTGGCCACTTTAGTGAAAGGAGGAGATTGATTTTTTTTTAAAAAAATGCCCTGAGCCTGAACCCCTATTGTCAAAACATTCCTTGGACCTGTTTAAAGAGGGCATATTCGGAATGCTGGGAATTTTGTTTGAAACACTGAGGAAAGCACAAGCTTTAATTGTAGTTTATTGTAAATTTCATTCCATTGTTATTGTAAAATCCTATGTTCATTTTAGTTGAAAATAGCCAATTATTCTGTTGTTGCCAATATTTTTGTATTGTCAACAGCAGAATATTTTATGTAACATAGTGTCCTCTATTCATTGCCTTCAATCAGTCACAAATGTTACTTTTGTATAATCTTTTCCTTTCAGAAATCAGAAACCTCTTGAAGGAGCTGTAGACCTCATGCTATCAAAAGGTTTTTTTGCATCAAGGTAGAGCTAAAATGTTTGTCTTCTATGTTTCTAGTTTGTTTGAGTCATGTTATAAGCTATGATTTATTTGAAATGTAAAGCCACATTAGTGACTGTTACAATAGGCTAGCTATTTAGGGATCTCATTCCAAACCACGGTCCAGTGTAAGATGCGATCAGAAGCCTGAAAATATCCTTGCGGTCTTTGCCTTAAGCTTACAGTTAAAATGTAAGATTATTCATGCAAGTTCTGAATGTCTAAGTCTTAATTTAGAAGTAGGTTTTCTTCAGTTCTTGGAGATCTTAAATTTTCAGGCTACAACCATGAGGAAATGTAGACTTCAAAGGTCATCCAGTAAAATTCTAAGACCATTTTGTCTTAAAAATTATGATTGTGCATAATTGTGGATAATTCTTAAATTCAACCCTAATTTTGAAGCATATTCTTTTTAAGAGCTGTAAAAAAAATTGAAACTGAATTTTCCATAATTCTATGTGATCTCCACATTTTAAAATGGGTTAAGACCCAGATAGATTTACAGACCTTTGGTAGATGAATATACAGGATTTTTTTCTCATATTGGTAATTATATTGCACAGATACCAGAAGTTTCAGTGGCATATTTTGGTACACAGCAGAAGAAAAATAACTGAATCCAAACTTTGCAAATGCTTCATAATCAAGTCACATCTCAGTTTTGCCTGCTTAACAGAGAAAGTTGCATTTCATTTGTATTATCTCCAATGTTGTGCACAACTTGGTACATCAGAATAATGCTCTAAGTAAGGAATGTTGATTTGAAATGTTTTTTCTGTGTCTGACAGGAATTGTAACAAATTCTGTTAACTACAGATCAACCAGATAAAATTATTCCTTCACTCTTAGCCATTTGTGGGACATTGCTGCGTGCAAATTGGCTGCAGGGTTTGCCTACAAATACAGTCACTGCCCTTCATGGTAAAATGCTGTGAAGCACTTTGAGACATTTCAATGATGCTGTAAGGCACTATATCAATTGCAAAGATTATTATTATTGCTTCCCCTATTTGGTAACTCGTTGCCCTATGAAGTCACCATTTGGAACTCTTTCCTTTCTATGCAAAAGTTCAAAGCAGAGTTAATGATAATATACGGTCAATTCACTTTACAGTATATTCTGTGAAGCGCTTTGAGACATCGAGAAGACGTGAAAAAGCACTATATCAAATGCAAGGATTATTATTATTATAATGATTACTTACCAAATTGGAGTTGAGGAACAGCATGATCCTCAATGTGCTCATTGATCTGCCAATAAATTTGCCCTAACTTCCAAGGGTTCGCTCACCTACAACCAGGGGCAAGTTCATGAGCCATTTGTCCCAGTTCTCTGTTGCTGTTTGCTGTCGTGTCATTTTATATACAAAACACACAGTATTTATTATCTTTGTGTGTCAGCCATGCTCAGTTAGTAGCATTCTCGCCTCAGTTGTGGTTTCAAGCCCCATGTCGGGACTTGGAACTCATACAGTCTATGCTGACATGCCAATGTAGTGCTTAAAAAAAAGATTATTTTGACCAATGGTTTAGAAATATTTAAGATGTGTATGGCAGTAAACTGGAGACCATAACTGTAGAAAGTATTGCTGCTCAGTAAAGGGTTAATTTGTTGGTCAAATCTATATGTAATATTAACGCCACTCCAATTCTCGTTTGATTTCAGTCTGATTATTTTTAATAAGTATTTTAATTGGCTGATTTGTTTCTATTGTTGCAAAACAATGGTTTGGTTTTAGTTGGTTTGTCTTGCATATGTTTTCAGACATAGTTCCATTTCCTGTTTTGATTCCAACTCTGCTTAGCTCCTAATTTTATTTTTATTTCATCACCATGCCTATCCCCAAGACAGCAAGACAATTGTCTTTTGCCAGGATTCCAGGTTTGAGCAAATTTTTGCGTTATCTCTTACTTATAGGAATTGTATTTTATTGCTCGTCTCCTACAAAGATTGTCATTGATTAGGTGAACTTGGCAGGAAAGACGAACCTTGAGCTGTGGGTTATGGAAGCATAGTAGGAAGCCATTTAGTCTTTACTTTCACAAACTGTGCAGTGCTTTTGAGATGTCCTCCTGACATGAAATGCTCTATAGAAACATAGATTGTATTGTTGTAAATTCAAATGGTTTAACCTCTGTTCCGGTGAAAACTGATCCATTTTGAACCTATTTTCAAAACTATAAACCCTTAGCCTGGGTTATCGTCTATTTGAACCAATACTGTACCATCTCCATGACTTTGATATTTGTTCTGGAATGAGTGCTGAGAACTGCACACACTACACCATATGTAGCCTAAACATAATTTCCTGATGCAGCCATCAATCTACTGAATGACCGTTTCTCCATACCTTCAATTCCCTGACTCCCCTGAAATCCAGGGTTGTTTCCAAACTCACCCGCTCCCCCCGGTAAACAGTTACCTCTGCTCACTCAAAACATAAACCGATGCTGGTCACTCAACTCCTCATTTCTCTCCCCCTGCTGGCCGACACGGTCAAACAGTCTCTCTCCTCAGGCTCTGTCCACGCCTGAAAACTTCTGTCAATCACACCCCTCCTCAAAAATACCACCCTCGATCCCTCTAATCTCTCATACTACCGTCCCATCTCCAACCTACCCTTCTTGCCAAAGTCCTGGAACTCATTGTTGCAGGTCAACTTCGGGCACACCTCTCCCTCCACTCCCTCCTCAAGCCCCTGCAGTCTGGTTTTCGTGATGCCCACAGCACAGAGACAGCGCTTGTCAAAGTCACAAACAACATTCTTTCTGTCTGTGACCAAGGCTCCCTCTGCCTCCTCGTCCTCCTGGATCTCTCTGCATTTGACACAGTTGACCATGCCACCCTCCTCCACTGCCTCTCCTCCCTCATCCACCTTAGTGAGACCACACACGCATGGTTTGAGTCCTACTTAACCAACCACCTCCATTTCATCTTGGCAAATGGTTTCTCCTCCCACTCCCGCCCAGTCACCTGCGGGGAACCCTAGGGCTCCATCTTTGGCCCTCTTCTTTTCCTTAATCTATGTGCTCCCTCTGGTTGATATCATCCGCAGACACGGGATAAACATCCACATGTATGTGGATGACACACAAGCCTACTTTGCCTCTTCCAGTACCAACTCCAGGCCCGCCGATATTCTATCAGCTTGTCTGGCAGACATTAGGGCCTGGATGAGTGCAAACTTCTTGCAGCTAAATGTGGACAAGATGGTATCCATATTCCTTGGCCCCCATCAGAGTCTTCATTCTTGCAGAACTGAGCTCCTCAACCTCCCTGGGCTCTCCCTCAGACTCACCGAACCAGAGTGCAATCTAGGCATCCGGTTCAACCCCCAACTGTCCTTCTCCCACCTCCAGTCCCTGACCAGGACAGCCTTCTTCCACCTCCGCCACATTACCTACCTCATTACCCCAAATGCATCCGAAATCCTTGTGCATGCGTTTGTCACCTCCCACTTGGTTTACTCAAATGCACTCCGCGCCGGTCCCCCCAGCTCCACTATTTAATAGCTCCAACTCATTCAGAACTCTGCTGCCCACATACTTACCATACCAAACTCTGTACCCACGTCTCACTAGTTCTGGCCAGGCTGCACTGGCTCCCCATCACCGAATGGATCAACTTCAACATCCTCACACTCGTGTTCAAATCCCTTCACTCTTGAGGCACCTCCCTACCTCTCCAACCTCCTCACTCCCCAATCCACTACCCGGCGCCTCTGCTCAACTGGCACCGGCCTCCTGCTCGTCCCTCGCACCCTCTGCCCCACCATCAGAGGTCGTGGTTTCAGCCACTACGCCCTTAAACTCTGGAACACTCCCTCAATCCCTCCGCCTTGCCCACCCTCTCTCCTTTTTCAAGTCACGCCTGAAAACCTTCCTCTTTGACCGTACATACGGCCACCTCCCTCCACCAGCGGCTCGTAGTCAGGTTCCGCCACTGTTAAGCGCACTGACACACTACCCTGCATGGAGGCGCTATATAAGTGCAATTTGTTGTTGTATTCTGTAAACTTAACATGAATTTTCTGCAGCAACATGGAGCCATTTAACTTCAGATAAAAAATAAAATTTGAAGATCTCCTTGTTTGTATTTTAGAAATTGATTTACTTTCAGAGAACAGGCACAAATGTACTGTGAGATTCTATGATTCTTTGTTTTCTTTGAATGAAAAACAATAATTTTCTGTGATAATAATAAATAATAATAATCCTTGCATTTGATAAAACGCCTTATCACATCTTCGAGATGTCTCAAAGCACTTCACAGATTATATTGTAAAGCGAATTGATTGTATTTTATGAGCGAATCGCGGCAGCCAATTGCGCACAGCAGTGTCCCACAAACAGTCATGGATTGAGTGACCAAATTATTTTTTGTTTTTGAAGGGATTATTACCCCCGGAAAAGTAATCCACCAATCGAATAACCACCGGGTTCCTACTTATTGCTAGATAAACAGAGGCATGTGGAATAAGGAAACTTGTCCAACATTTAGCACTGTCCGGGAATCGAACTCAGGTCCTCATGCTTGCGAGGCGAGTACTGTAACCACTAAACTACAGGACTCCACAAAATTGCAAAACGAATTACAGTAACAGACTGTTTCCTGTTTTAAGTTACCAAATACAGTGGAGAGCCGTTATAAAGCAGTAGTTGAAATCCATAAAATCCCAACTGATGCATGATTGCATGTCAACACTTCCACATTCACTGTGCATTGCACCCCAATACCAAAGAGGTTGACTTCCGGGACATTAAGTTACAGTCTACATCATTTCCTTTGCTTTAATGATAATAATATAATAATCCTTGCATTTGATATAGTGTCTTATCACAAAGCGAGATATCTCAAAGCGCTTCACAGAATATACTGTAAAGTGAATTGACCATATATCTTGTGGAAACACACACCAGCCAGTGTTTGAAGCAATGGCGGAATGGGCATGTGCAGTTTGCATTTTTTGAGTAAGTTGAGGTCCATACCTAAAACCATGCAGTAAGTTAGCCCACATTTTAATGAAGTTTTTTATAACAGTGGAGTCCTGTAGCTCAGTGGTTAGACCACTCGCTTTGCAAGCGATAGACCTAAGTTCAATTCCAGGCAGGGCGAAACCTTGGGCAAGTTTCCTTACTCCACACACCTAATAATAATCCTTCCAAAAACACAACAACAATAATAAATTGGTCATTTTCAATCCACGACTGTTTGTGGGACATTGCTGTGCGCAATTGGCTGCCGCGTTCGCCCACAAATATACAGTCAATTCACTTTACAGTGTGTTGTGTGAAGCGCTTTGGGACGTCCTCCCGACGTGAAAAGCGCTATATCAAATGCAAGGATTATTATTATTATTATAACAGTGTTCCACTCTAATAATTATACTGCCTCAGGAACCAGCGCTCGGGCTTTACTGAAGAATGAGATTTCTGTGGATGGCATTTAAAGTTTTATGTGTTGATCACTCCAAATCCTGGGTCTTGTCCTATACATAAGCTCCCTCCTTTTTACATTGAGAACAAACACTACTTGCAGTTAGGAAAAATAGTTTGGCATTCATTCATTGCATGTGCTAATATTCTAAGCCAGTCTATTTAAAATTCAGGACCAGTAATCGTTAAACTATTGGGATTATCTCCAAAACTGAACCCAGATCAGCCATTTTAAAGTGCTAGATTTTCAATATTCGAGTTATTGTCCTTCACATTCAATAATGAATTGAATGACTTGGGAGGGAAGGAGGGGGAGGGTAAGGCACGCATAATCATAAAAAATGTCTAACCCTTTAAGAGATTTTTAGTCTACAGTAGGTTTTTGTAGGTCTAAAGTACATGATTTGCATTACCTTTCTCTTATTCAGTAATCCCTTTTGCTTTGATTTTACTAAAACCCCTCAAGACAGTTCCATTTGATAATTGCTTGTAAAAAAAAATTGATTTCTGCTACACTCAGCCTTCAAAACTCGAATTAGCTGTCAAAGCTCTTCTCTGTTACCAGTTGTGACTAATAACTCTGTAACCATCAATTCTGTGTAGTATAACAACTTTCAAAAGGGAATAGGTCCTTGAAAAGGAAAATCTTGCAAGGATATGGGGGAAAAGTAGGGGAGTGGGACTGGATGGGTAGCTTTTCTAAAGAGCTGGCACAGGGACAAATGGCCTCTTTCTGTGCTGTATGATTCTATGTTCCCTCAAAGTCCAAAAACACGTTCAGACACCTTCAAAGAGAGGATTTAATTCAGGATAGCTACAGTGGCGACCTTGACTGCTAAGCCGATGAAGCAAAGCAAATCTGTTCACAGTTTTGTCTTCATGCTTTAAGGAGAGAAAACAGGTTAAGTAACAAAAGGAAGATGAGGGTTTGGGTTTAATGATATGGTTAAAATGTTATTTTCCTGGTCCAACTTCATGTGGTTTTTGGAATGTTTCAATCTCCTGGGGTTGTGAGAACAAATAAGCATAGGCAAGTAAACATGTGCACAAATTCAAGTTCAATGAGGAAGGGACGCATCAGTGATCCACATTGTAGTATTCCTTCTGACAAATGGAATAGAATTAAAATTGGTTCAGCAGTGTTTAACTTTGATAAGTTACTTCCTCTTGTAACTCTGGGGATTTTAAAAGAGATTATGAAGCGTGCCAATTAATAAGTAATAATTCTTCCATTTGGGACGGTGGAGGAGAGGAAACAAAAAAAATGGAGCTTGCAGAATGGGGCTAAGGGAATACTATTTTTTGCAACGAAATAAGGTTCACCTCCAATTTCTGTAAATTAATTGCACTTCTTTGTCTAATTGATTTTTCACCTTGTTGTCTTTTGCAGCCTTTAACTGATTGAACTGTGATGCTGTGCTAAAATTCTAACATCCCAGATCAATGAACTGAGATGTCATTTACTGCCAGTGTTTGCTCAGGCATTGTCCACTTCGCTAAGTTGGTCTAACATTCTGGGGATCTGATATCATCAAGTACAGCAAGCCATGGGAGGAGCTGTAAGTGCTGGTGAGGACAATGATGATTTAATTGACAATTTAAAAGAAGCTCAGTACATTCGCACCGAGAGAGTGGAGCAAGCCTTCAGGGCCATCGATCGAGCAGAATATTATTTGGAAGCATATAGGGAAAATGCTTATAAGGATTTGGCCTGGAAGCATGGCAACATACACTTGTCGGCACCTTGCATCTACTCCGAAGTTATGGAAGCATTGAAACTCCAGCCAGGATTGACCTTCCTGAACCTTGGCAGTGGAACTGGCTACTTGAGTACAATGGTGGGCTTAATTTTAGGTAATGCCACTTTATATTCTTCACATTTTGTTTGAAATTTGTGAATTAAATGTACCAAATGAAAAGAGTTACCAATTTACAATTTACTTCTATATTGGGCCTTTGATGTTGGGAGGTTATCTCAAAGCCTATCTCAGATAGGATACCTCAGAAGCTCGGACACCTGAGCCGGGTGGTGGTGGGGGGAGGGTGCGGGGGAGGAAGATGCCTGAAAGCACCGCCGTAGAGGTAAGTTTGGAAGTTTTGAGGTGGGTATTAAAAGTTGGGAGAGGGGGGTGAGTCAGAGTGACTCCTGAATGGAGTTCAAAAGTACAAAGGTAGAATGGCTGAAAGCTCGCCTACCGATGGGTGGGGTGGCTAGGGCCAGTGTTTTCTGACCAATGAAAATAATTAGGTCAGTAGAATTGCAGGAAATCACAGAGATTTAGGGGGAGAGGCCTTGGAGGAATTTGGATGTGAATACTGGGATCTTGAATGCAATCCACTGGACGATGAGGCATTTAATATGTGGTAAGTATGAAATTGAATACCTTAACAGTATAAAACTGGAATTGCGGATGTCGATCGGATGATCTTTAAAGACTTAGTTGCTAAAGCTGATAACAAATCTTTACAGAAATGTATCACTGGAATGATATTCAATAATGTATTGTTTAAATCTCTCTGCCCCCTAACTATTCAACCAGTGCTATTCTAAAACTACCCTCTAGGGAGTGTAGGAATGATAGCAACAAATTACATTTGTATAGTGCCTTTCACGACGGGAGGATGTCCTAAGGCGCTGAACAGCCTGGGGGTGAGAGACCTACGTTTTAAATACCTGCATAGAAATATTTTTCTCTGCACCACATAATGGCACAGCTGAGGGTCACTCTTTTCTCTGTAGGGAATTTCAAGCATGAGCTTGGATCTTCTCTGACATCCCACAGTGTACTGTAGGTTCTGCTGCCCGTCCCCAAAATAAACAATAAATGGTTGACCCCAAGATTTTCCAGACTTACATTGGAACTTGCAAATATTTAGGCTAGTCCATGATGTTTTTGGTGTAATGTTTCACTTTCTCAGTTTTTTTAAAAAAAAATATATTTATGATTCTAAAGGTTCAGTTAAAATGCTAATATAACATACAGTAACAATGGAATATCACTTCCAGTCGAAGAGAGATTGGAGCAGGAAATGGGATGTGCTAAGCTCTGTTAACTGGTGTGAAAATGCTTGCTAAGTACTAAAGGAGTCAGGTATGCACCTGCTGTTTTATACATTAAAAACCTCAGGGTTGATCCAAATGTTAATTGGAACCTGTTTAATCATATTGATTCTGATGTTTTTGACATCAAATTCAATTCAGTATCTGGTCTGGAGAGGTTTTCAGGTGGGAATCAAAATTCAGGCCTGTAAAATGTGAGTTATGCTACTTTAGTACTGTATAATTTGTGTGCAAAAAAATTGAAAGAACATTAATAGTGCAGTATGAGAGGGAGCATTTGAATAAGTAAAATGAAGGTAATTATTCTATAATATAACCTTTAATACTGGATAATGCATTAATCTATAGTACAGTTCTCATATGATTATATTGAGCTGTACATTTCTGCTATTTAGCTCCCTATTTAGCTCCCACTACCCTTTCTTGCCTTGCTTAATAATGGGAACATTTGTGGCCTGCTTCATATCCCCCACCCTATCTACTCCACCATTGGCAGGCAAGCATTCCGCCCCCAATGTCTGTAACTCTATCGTGGAGTTCTTCCAACTCATACCCTTCCTCCTTCCCTCGTTCGAAGCATATCTGAACACGTACCACTTTGACTGCTCTTTCAGTCATTTTCCCCCTCCCCATCCCGTTTGCTCCCACCCCCAGCTCAGGTGCTCATCCAGCATTTTTAGCACTTTGAGATGTCCTTTTCTCATGAAAGTCTGTAAATGGAAATTGTGTTGTATTAATAATCAAAACAATGTTTAGTGCTCACTGTATGGAATTTTATATTTGTTCGTCTTCAGACCTCCAGATATGAAAAGCGCTGGCTGGTTCTTGAATATGACTGTGCACTGTCATCTTACACTGACGTCTAATTTACTTACGTAATTGCAGGAAAAATAACATTTGGGTTAATAGCTTTTTGAGTTCACTTAGTTGAAAAGCTATTGTATATTGGACCATTAATCCCAGAGTGTAAAATTTGAAAGGATAATTTGAATTGCTTGATTTATACCAGATATCATTGCATTACATTGTGATAACATTTGTGGTAGAACACCAAATGTGGATCTGTGATGAGTTTTTCTGCCTTTCTTGTTGTTTCTTCTATTTCTGAACACGTCACCCTTCTCCTGCATAAAGATAGGTTGTCTGTGTTAACAACAGCAGTAACAAATTACATTTGTATAGCACCTTTCATGTCAGGAGAACGTCCCAAGGCGCTGGATATTCAGGGATCCGCAACTAAGCTGGTGGTTGAGATTAGGAGGGCAGGGTTAGGAGGGTGACCGAGGGCACAGTCGAAGAGGAGAGTCTTGAGATGGATCTTGAAGGAGGCCAGGGATGGGGTGAGGCAAAGGGACTGTGGGATGGAGTTCCAGAGGGTGGGGGCAGAGAGGCTGAAGGCCCACCCCACCAGTTGTGGGCAAGGCGGGGACATCAAGCAGGCTGGAGCCCGCTGAGCGGAGGGAACAGACAGGTTAGTAGGGGGTTAAGAGGTAATAGAAGTAGAGAGGAGCAAGGCTGTGGATGGCTTTGCAGGTGAGGACCAAGATCTTGAACTCTATTCTCTGACTGATGGGCAGCCAGTGGAGCCGGTCAAAGATGAGTGTGATAGGGTCACAGAGCCTGGTGTGGGAGACGACACGGGCTGCAGAGTTCTGGATGATCTGCAGCTTGTGGAGGGAGGAGTAGGGGAGGCTGAGTAGTAGGGATTAACAAAATGAAGTACAGTGATGGAAGATGCTACAGTATCGATGTAATGTTAAAATCTGCTCAGTGGATTGATTTACAACAGCAACAATTTGCATTTATATAGCGCCTTCACGGGGGACAGCACCTCAGAGTACATAACAGCCTGACATAAAAATCTAATTCGGAAGATGTGTTTTAAATTGGTTAAACGTTTTAGTTTTTTTTGAATAACAAACTAGTTGATGTAAAAACCTATGGACTCACAGTGGAACCTTGATAACTTCACTTCTCCACAGATGGGATAGAGATGTTCTCCTCCGCTGTGACTGTTAATCAAAGTTCCAATGTACATGTTTCTGGTGCAGTGCTCACGAGTAATTTTGTCTTTCACAGCTGTTAGTCAAGACACCCAGTAGTTAACTGGAGTGAACTCTTCTTGTTCTACTATCTCAGTGTATCATAAAGTCTTTAATTGTGCTTTCGGTCATCTTCTCTTCTCCTCCTCCATTGAAATCTTCCTGAAATGAAAGATACTATATAAATGTAAAAGGTTTTGTAGGTTATGATGTGGAACCAGGGGCTTTAAAGGCTGAAAGAGGTTTATTCCAAGAAAATAAATTCATAATTGTTAAAAAAAATCTCATTCACCAAGTTTGCAGGTGCTGTTTTAGAAAAGGGATGCACTACTTTGAAAGTGGATTGTTTTTGTTATTCAATGGAAGATTTTAATATTCAATAAGAATGTGAACTTTAATTTCTGGTGCAAGTTAATAATTGCTTCAGAATGTGATCTGCAGCACAGGTTACCATTATTTCATTTCAGTATCATTAACATTTAGAATATAATCTTAGGTTTATTTTGCCCTGTTTTGTAGGCCCCTTTGGAATAAACCATGGAGTTGAGCTGCATGCTGATGTGGTAGAATACGCCAGACAAAAGTTGGACACTTTTGTAAAGAACAGTGACAGCTTTGATAAGTAAGTAAGGCCTCATCTGAGATCAGCACAGTTTATTTGCAACTAGATTTTGTAACCAATCTTTCTTCCAGTCTGAGGTTAGTCCTTTTTTTTTAAAAAAGAGATTGCTATTACAACAACAACAACAACAAGATTCCATTTATAAAGCGCCTTTCACGTCAGGAGGACGTCCCAAGGTGCTGCACAGTTGGGTCATGACCCGAGCAGGGGGAAATGGTCAGGGTGAGGGGAGGGAAGGGAGGGAGCGAGGAGGGGGGAAATGGTCAGGGTGAGGGGAGGGAAGGGAGGAAGCGAGGAGGGGGTAGAGAGTCGAGAGGGGAGCTGAAGGCACGGTCAAAGAGAAAGGTTTTGAGACCGGCCTTGAAGGAGGAAAGGGAGGAAGCAAGGCGAAGGCACTGGGGGATGGAGTTCCAGAGCCTGGGGGCTGAGAGGCTGAAGGCCCGACCACCGATTGTAGGGCGGTTGGGGCGGGGGACGTGGAGCAGACTGGAGCCAGAGGAACGGAGGGTACGGGCAGGTAGGTAGGGGGATAGTAGGTTGGAGGGGTAGGAGGGAGCAAGGCCGTGAATGGCCTTGTAGGTGAGGATGAGGATCTTGAATTCGATCCTCTGGGGGATGGGGAGCCAGTGGAGGCGAGCGAGGGTGGGAGTGATGTGGTCACTGGTGCGGGACAGTACACGAGCTGCAGAGTTCTGAATGACCTGCAGCTTGTGGAGGGAGGTGGCGGGAAGGCCGGCGAGGAGAGAGTTCCCATAGTCCAGCCTTGAGGTGACAAAGGCGTGAACCAGAGTTTCAGCAGCGTGAGGGGTGAGGTAGTGCCGTAGTCTGGCGATGTTCCGGAGGTGATGGAAGACGGTGCCAGTTGTGGTGCGGATGTGAGGGAGAAAGGACAGCTCAGGGTCGAACAAAACGCCGAGGTTCCTGACTGGCTTTGAGAGGTGGAGAGTGCAGCCTTGGATGCTGATGGTGTCAGCGCCTGAGGATGGTTAAATTACCATTTAACAGTCCATTGTACCAATACTGTTCTGAACTTTCTCCTTCGCTCCTTACATCGTTTCTGTTACATTTATGTTTTTTGTTTAATACAATAAATCGCACCCCAAAGCTTGCCTCTTTGACCTCTATGGTCACCTCCCTCCACCTTCTTCTTTGGTTGGCATCTAGCTCTGCCACTGTACAGTGCTCCAAAATGTTATCCTACGTAAAGCGACGTACGTAAATGTTGGCATTGCTAGACATGTTCAGTTTACTATATCTACAATTTGATTCCCTTTTTTATATGATTGCATCACAGATGTTGTGTTTATTATTCCTAGGTTTGAATTCTGCGAGCCTGTCTTTGTGGTTGGGAACTGCTTAGAAGTTACATCAGACAATCTTCAGTATGACCGGGTTTATTGTGGAGCTGGAGTGCAAAAGGATCATGAAAATTACATGAAAATCTTTTTGAAAGTTGGTGGAATTCTTGTTATGCCTATGGAAGATCAGGTAACATCATCTCTTAAGCAATGTCTGAAGTATTACGCATAAGTCTGTATGCATATGCCAAATACAGTGCGTGTGTGTGTATAAAAGTGTTGATTCTCATTTATTTATCAACCTAAATAATCAGGATTTAGATGTATCCTGGAATGTGGAATAAATGTCTTGAGACAATAGGAAGTAACTTTTGGAGATTCATCAAAGAGTTCGAAACTATTCCGTTTTACAAGCACCAAAGTCTTTTATCCCAACCTGCTGGAACTCTGCTCAGATGACATATCTCATTTATTATGCACTTAAAGTCAGAAAACTTCCAAAGGAGGCTCTGAATGGAATTCCGTTGGTTTTTGCACCCTTTAGCTTTAAGAAAAAAAATATTTTTCCTTTCTTTTCTTCCACCTAGTCCCTTACAGTATGAGGCCACTGGTCTGTAAACTCTCAGTCCTTTTTTTTCTTATAATTACCAACAAGTTTCTAGCAAGAAAAGTTGTTGCCAAAATTCCAAGCTTATAGTGAGAGAAACTCACTAGGGGATGTCCGAAACATGCACTTTCATTGAGCCAGCTGAGGAGATCCGGGTGTCTGATTCTTGGCTTGCAGGACTACTGGGTGTACAATTAAAACTGAGTTGATTCTGAGAAGGATTAACATGTGATCAATTGAGCTGGTTGATAGAGCCATAGGTTGTCTGATTTTAAAAACATGAGTATGATTCAATTCTGAGGATGAGGAACAGGTGTGCGATCGAATGAAGGGGCTACTTGTGTCCTTAGTGCAGGAATCAAGAGTATGCATACACTAAATATGATGCAGGCACTAAGTATTGCAACTGTTGATTTGTCTCTGATTTGTGTTCTCTGTACAAAAATTGTTGTGGAAAAAATAGATAAAAACCATTAGATTTATCGGACACAAATCTGAAAAAATAAAATTACTATTTCCAGCAACCCTAGAAATAACATAAAAGATTAGATTGTGTCACTAATTGTATTTCTTCCCTTTCTGCAGCTTACCCAGATAATACGCACGGGACAGAACACATGGGAAACCAAAAATATATTGGCTGTTTCATTTGCTCCTCTGATCCAACCAAGCCGGACAGATAGCTTAAAATCAGACAATGTAGGGCTACGTAAGTATTCAGAATCTTTTAAGGAAAGAATGTATTTTATTGCATGGGCTGGAAATATTTCATTCATTTGGAATGATGCTGAATTAAGGCTAAATGGCATAGTTAGAACTCATTAAGGTCTAATGAAATCTATTTATTTTTATAGCCTGCACTGTGAACTTCCAACGAGTATACTTTTTAATAGCCCCACAATCTGACAGAGGAGTATCAGTATACTCCCAGTATTAACATACTTATTATGGATTGTAAGTATTTAAAATGTCAAAAAGAGCCTTCCAATATTGCAACACACATTTGTGCACTATAAGTCTTAATCAATAGTTGCTAGCACAGGAGGAAAGCATTGGATTATTTTTTCACTCTTCTGACTCAAACTTGATTGACTGTTGTGATGCTGTTTCCAAATACTCGAGTGACGTTCAGTTTATGGAAACGAAAGAAGTTTGCTGATTGTTTCTGGCTGAATTTGTTCTGCTCTGCAGCAATACTATTCAGTTGGTAGACTTTGGTGGAGAAAGGGGTTATTGAATTGTCTTCCTCTGTTATATTTCTCTAGCAAAAAGGTTTGCTGCATTAGGAAGTGAACAATGCAAGACATCAGAAGGTGAAAATAACACAATAAAAGCAGAAGGAAAATAATATGAAAGTTTTAAGCAAAGAGAAAAATACTAAATTAAAACATGAAATGGGGGGGATTATTTAAAAATCATTTTGCACACACGGTCTCTCTTACCTTGATCACACTTCTTCCTTTTTCCTTCTCTGATGCCCTATACTTTCCTCACCTGGTGGTCATGTGTGTGATAGTCCTTGTTCTTTTTATCTCTTTGTTTGTCAATTCTCTTCGTACGTTTCCAAACCCTGAAATGTATTTATTAATTTTCAGCTTGCTTTTCAGTTGGTTTGTATGAAGTAATGTGCCTATAATATTTGGTATAGTTCAGTTCATCTTTAAAGCTAAGTGGCCTCCTTCATTTTTGTTTTAATTCGAAAGGATATCTCATCCAAGTTCCCATTATTCATGTGTGAGCATTGACAGGGAAGAGGAAAATTTGGAATTTAACCTTTGTTTTCAACAAGTATTCATTCTTAAGGGAGGCTTCTTTTCAATACAAATCGGTGTTGTGTAACAGGACACGAGTAAACACTGCAAATCTTAACATTGGAAGTACACTCTGGAACTCCATCCCCCAGTGCCTTCGCCTTGCTTCCTCCCTTTCCTCCTTCAAGGCCGGTCTCAAAACCTTTCTCTTTGACCGTGCCTTCAGCTCCCCTCTCGACTCTCTTCCTCCTCCTCGCTCCCTCCCTTCCCTCCCCTCACCCTGACCATTTCCCCCCTCCTCTCTCCCTCCCTTCCCTCCCCTCACCCTGACCATTTCCCCCCTGCTCGGGTCATGACCCAACTGTGCAGCGCCTTGGGACGTCCTCCTGACGTGAAAGGCGCTTTATAAATGGAATCTTGTTGTTGTTGTTGTAGATTGACCAATATTGCATGTCCGATTGATAATCTGCTTAAGTTTCCATTTCTATTGAAGACATCATAGTTTTCCATTGATTTGTTTATGTTCCAAATAATGAAGTCCAACTCACTGCATTAAAGCTTTGGTGGAATTATTATATGCTTCCTTTTACCTTTTATTTAGCGTCAGCATCTGTGCGATGCCTTCAGGATTTGGCACGAATTTACATTCGGCGCAATCTTAGAAACTTGATAAATCAGGAGATCCAGGCCAGGGGCATTCCTCCGAGGGCCCCACCAAAGCGGAAACGCAAGAAGCTCCGGAGGCGCAGAATTGATACTTATGTGTTTGTTGGCAACCAGTTAATTCCTCAGCCATTTGATAGCGACGAGGATGATAAAATGGAAGAAGGGAACAGAGAGGAAGAAGAGGAGGAGGAGGAGGAAAAAGAAATTTCTGAAGGTCTCAAGCAGGAAGAGTCTACCCCAAGTCTGCTGAGAGAGAGAATTATGAGTCTCCCACTACCGGAATCATTAAAAGCATACCTAACTTATTATAGACAAAAATAGCATTGAACCAATGGTGACCCTAAGGGGAACAATGCCCACTGAAATCTCTCTCTCTCTCTCTCTCTCGAGTTGTCCAATGTAGCATTTTCTAGACCAATCACTCTCAATATAGACCGTTAATGGAAACACAAAGGTTCTGACATTACAACTAATAATTACAACTATAATAATAGATTTGGCCTGAATACACAGAGCATAGAAACCTTAAAGCGTTTCTTTACTGGCACAGTTTAGGTGTGTTCAGATACTGGGTAATAGTAAATATAAAGGTTCAGGCACCACATTCTTTCAGCCCCTATATATCATTCTTGTGGGACTTATATTAGCACAATAAGTAAGCAAGGATATAAAGAATTTCACATTTTCTATTAGGAGGTGAAAAGTAGTTTATTTTTAAAGGTGGGTAAAAATTTTAAATATTTGAGTAGTGCACACCATTTGATACACTTTTGTAGTGAATCAGATTTGCTAGAGCAATTAGCAAGTTTTACTATTACTATTTTTCTGTTAAGTCCTGTATGTGTAAGCTGTACTATATACCACATATGTCAGCGGTATATCTGTTAACTTCTGCAGCCGTATCAACTCAATTCAATATGGTAAAGCAAGATGTAAGTATGGGCTTTTGAAATAACGCAGTTCAAAAGTGTCCACAGATGGGATCTAAGATTGTGACAATTTCAAAGGGAATTTATTAACTGAGGAACACCTTAACTAACATTCAAGTCAGGTTTCTGTCCAGCAACCGGAAGTACATCACACTGCCTCACAATTTGTGTTGGAGGGCATTCCTTAATTAAGCAATCCCATTTGAGATTGTGTTGTTTTAGACACCTGATTAGTAACACAGGAGCAGTTAGTTGTAGCATCACTACTTTACTTTTGAGTATAAATTGCAGCAATAAAATCTTCCACCACAAGAGGTATGTCACGCTGACCTGTAGGAATTGGTCACTGTGTCCAACATACATATATCTCCAGAGTGGATTTCCAGGTCAGAAATCCATGTGATGCATTTCTAATTATTGGATGGAATGTGGTTTTTTTTTGCAACTTGGGAGTTGTTGCCAAGCGGATTCTCATTACAAGTTGCTGCATTTTAGACCCCAATGTGTGGATTGTCTTTAATTAATATCTGGCAGATCATGCATTGACAGAGGTAACCAACTGTGGTTCCATAGTCCAATTACTTGTACGTGGATGTGCAGTGCTTAACTTATGTTATGCTTGTATAGCAAATGCACTTTAGAATTTTGGAAACTTGTTTGCCAAGATGTTTAAGCTTTTTGACAAAAAGTTGCATTACGACTATATTTTCTGAACTTTTGTTCTTGCAGTGTGAGAACAATGACAGTTATCTCAATGTCGCTTTGGAATTATTTTCGGGATAGTAGGTATCCCAATAAACCAAACTCTCTGGGACCTTGAGGATCATGTAGCCAAATTGTCAGAATTGTTAAGCAGGTTAGTACAGTACCCCATAGCCAATGATGTGCTTACTGTAGGCCTCTGCTCCATTGCGCCTCTCCTGAATCTTTAGGTACTGTTTACGTGTACAACTCTGCGAGAGGGCACTGACTGATCTTTTATTGATACTGTGTACAATAGGTTATAATGATGTACCAGCATTATAAATCCAGGGTGGATTGTGATCTTGGTGATAATACATCGATGGAGTGATATTCAGGTAAATATTAAACTTTTGTACAGACATGTTGGGGGGAGGGGGAGGGGGAACTTTTTTTCTGCACTATCAATTGATCTATTAAAAACAGTAGCTAAACAAGCAATAGATGTATTTTCATAGGTGTGTAATTTTGTGTAACGTTTTGGTCGAGATATGAATTCATGTTTAGAAGCGTTTACTTTGCTGTTGAAAATGTGGTTTAAGTTTGTTTCCTTTTATAGAATTACTAATAATAAACTCACAGTAGTAGTTCTATGAAAATCGGTTTGAATAAATAACTGATTGCTTCTGTATACAGTGATCATTGGGAAAATATTTTTCAATAAAATTCATACGCTTTATCATAACTCTGTTGCAGTAATCATTCCTTAATGTCTGTCTTATGAATAGTCCATTTAAAAATAAACACAACTGTGAATTAAACAATAATAATAATCCTTGCATTTGAAATAGTGCTTTTCATGTCTTCTGGACGTCTCAAAGTGCTTCACAAAATATACTGTAAAGTGAATTGAATGTATATTTGTGTGCGAAACAATACTGAGAAAGCTAAGTGAATGAGAGACTTGCATTTTGTTAGTTGCTTAATGCTGTAAATAAGCTCTTGCCAAGATCAAAGGGAACTTTTACAGAGCAGCCCAGGAGTATATTGGCTTGTGCTATTTTCACACTGTTATTTCCAAGCTTTATCTGAGCAACATTCGAAAGTACACAATCAGTTTTGTCAGTTCTCATTTAGAGGAATGCATTCTATTTGAGAGTATATAATAATAATAATAATCCTTGCATTTGATATAGCGCTTTTCACGTTGGGAGGACTTCCCAAAGCGCTTCACAGAATACACTGTAAAGTGAATTGACTGTATATTTGTGGGCAAACGCGGCAGCCAATTGCGCACAGCAATGTCCCACAAACAGTCGTAGATTGAAAATGACCAATTTAATTATTGTTTTTGGTTTTGGAGGGATTATTATTAGGCTCTGTGTGGAGTAAGGAAACTTGCCCAAGGTTTCGCCCTCTGCCTGGAATTGAACTCAGGTCTCTCGCTTGCAAAGCGAGTGCTCTAACCACTGAGCTACAGGACTCCACACATATAAACACTAAGGAGCGTCATAGTTGTCAGTGATATTTGAGTAGACAATCCATTTGTTTACTGGAGATATGGACTGAATGTACTTGAAATTTGGACAGCTGGAAAAAATAGGGAAACATACTACAAATTGTTTTTGGATCATCTACCATGATTTTATTGTCAACTATTTTTTAACCTTCCTCCTTTCCTGGCTCAACAATGCCTTGGTTTAAAAACGTAACCTCAAGCTCTCCCATTGTTTAGTGGTCCCTTGGGTAAAGGTACCGGCAGAGGACTGTTGCCCATGAAATTGAACCCTCATAGAAAGGAAAAATGAGATGGGAAATTAGCGAGGATAGGGAAATAACATTGCCACCGTCCACAATAAAATTGTATGTGCAATGTAACTTTTTACAAGAATTTAAATTAATATGATATCTAATGTATGCAATAAAGTTAAAGAAAAATCCTGTGGGAAGATTAAATCAGTTTGTTGAGCAATATATTTACAATTGCATTTATTCGAGTAGGACCACTATTGATGAAGGCCAGCAGTTGTTCAGAACCGTGGAGGAGTATTTGCAGATTGTCAGTGATATTCAGATTAGAGTTTTATTTTCTACCCTGACACATGCACATACACACACAAATATGGAATAATGTACTGTGGTTGTGGTGTATCTGGAGTAGTGCACAGTTACAGTTGAGTAAATATTACTAACCAAGAACATCAAGGTCCATGATCTTAATAGCGGATGCTCGGATCCTATACAAGGGGGATTACATGAATTTGTGGGCTGACCTCTTCCCCAGTTCAATTTCTGTTGAGGAACATGATGGGTAGAGATCTGAACACTGAAGTGTCATTGTGTGATGTTCAAGGAAGGCAGATTGTATTCCATTGAATCTGAACATTCAAATAGATTTATAATAATCTTTACATTTGATATAGCGTCTTTCATGTCGGAAGGATGCCCCAAAGCACCTCGCAGAAAAATACTGTAAAATGCAGTCACTGTGTGTTTTGTGGGTGCACATTTACTCAAATAATGGAAGTCGTAGATTATAACAATCTGCTGGTGCTGATCATAATAAATGTATCAAAACTGCACCTATGGAAAATGTGGACATTTCTACTACACTGTAGTACTTCTACTACACATTCCAAGACCTGCAGAATTTTTGTTTTTAGCATTCCTTTCACATTTGATTTTGATGCCCAGAGAACCNAAAAAGCACCATAGGTAGGAAAAATCCCAAAATATTTATGACAAAATAAAATCAAGTAAGGTGAATCAATCTTGGTGCAACATCCATGTAACTTGGCGAAAGGAATCCTTCCTCAGGGACAAGATGGACTCCACTATATTAACCGGATAAAACTTCAGATAAATCAGAATCAGTTCCACTCTGAGGGCTAACTTAGTTCGCAACTCAACCAGTACTTTACTGAGGCTCATTGGGGTGTTTATTGTTAGCTCCTCAACTCATCAGGTTGCACAAGAGAAATTCCAGTTGTTATTGACGGACCTAAGAAAATTTGCTGCATCAGCCTTTACCAACAGTACTGTCTGTGAAACTGCTTGGCATCCTCTCAAGGGTTCTTGAAATTCCTTAGGGTTCCTTCAAACTGGTTTCTGCACATTTTCAATAACCCTTTGTTATAATGAGAAAAAGGTTTGTTGCTTTGGGCAGCATTGAGTTTAGGGATTTATTTAGAGCCTTCTCTGTGAATAATAAACCTATAAGCCACCAAATACACAGTCACTCACTTTACAGATAAACTTTGTAAAGCACTTTGAGATGTTTTGACATGATAAGACACTATATCAAATGCAAGGATTATTACATTTGTGGAAAGGCATATTATCAAAGAGATTGAACAAGAGAAACATTGAGCAATATACAGTCAGACTAATTGTGATGATTTATCTGCCCATAATTGCAGTTCAAATAAAAAAGACAGCAAAAACTACAATTGCAAAGATGATTAAATCCTTGTTTACTTAAATCAACCAAAATGGGAAGCACTGATGAATTAACTAAACATTTGAGCATGCACATATTCATCAAAGCTTCATTGTGAATGATGAATCTTATACATTTCAAGGGTTCGTTTAGAACATAAGTCCATCATACAAGATGCAAAATACACCTATTTTTTCAGTGGTGACTAGCTGGCATCCTGTGCTTAAAAAAAGGCTAATCTTCCAGGTCAGCAGTTCACCTTTGCTTATATCGTTTCCTGAACACCCTGTGCAGCGTGTAGGAAGTGAGATCAGTGGCATACTGCATGCATGTTAATTGCACAGAAAGTAATGTCAGCAGTGACCTTTGGCCCAGTAGTTAGCCATTTACACACACTGTTATAATGCGTGTTTGAGATATAGGACCCAGACAATCACATTATAATGGGGTTGCCCTGTTATCAATCCCTGTAAAGGCAGTAGTAAAGGAATTATTAGCGCTGTCACTTTCTGGAGTCGCAGGCTTTTACTTCTGCACATTGTAGGTCAACATGTTCAATGGTCAGAGGTTACTTCATATATATCTACCCACATGTCAAAGGTAGATGGGACAGTGGAATTCCCAATCAGAACACTGTGTGATCACTTGGTTGCTGAATCGTGAGAAATGTCTCGACACCTTCCAGGCTTTCTCTGTCTTACAGGTTGGATCGAGAGAGGTACCTGCTTTTGCAGATGTATAGATTGCACAGGAAGGGCTGCAGTTAGCACCAGGTAAGGTTGAAGTGGCACTGGGTGGCTTTGCATTTTTTTGGTTGTTATGATTCTGTGTATATCCTCGAATAACAAGTTTTCCATATCTGTTGAAACTGTAATGCCAGCGACAATCGATCATTGATCCACCACAACCAGTCTAAGATGGCACATGCAGCAAGGCATCTTTGGACACATAAGTCCACAAGGAGTACAGTCAAGTCCCACATCAAATAAGAATATAGTGTCATTGTGGGCTTTATTTTAATAGATGTCGGATTCTATTTTTCTAATTGGTTTTCCCCTAAGCACTGTGGTTAATTAGCCTGCATAAATTCGTAAATCTCTTGAAACGAGCTTTCCTTTGAAACTGGCCTGGGTATACACACAGTTTAACTGTGTAGTTTCTCTAAAAGAGCTATCATCACTCTTTAATGCGTTGAAATAACAGAAATGTTTGGAATGGAATATCTTGCTGAGAATGAAATGAGAAAATCAAGTAAAATACGCCCAAATTGTACACCATTCTTATATACAACAGTAGACGTACTCAGAAGGATGTTCCTTTTATCAGAATAATCTTTCAATTCTACTTTTCAACTCCAACTTTATTCCAAATAGTTCATTTTTTTTCTCCAGACATACATTTGAATCAAGTAATTTTCAAGTATCTTGCAACACCTCACTCACCCACATGTGCCTTTCAACCATCCAGCTCTCCCTGATAGCACCCTTTAATAGTTAGGGAGCTCAAGGCTTTCTTATGTGTATTAAATTCCATCATACAGCCTCTGTAACTCAGTCAATTACACTGACGTAACTTTGATCTTTGAGATCGAATGGTGGCTTTATCAAATCACTTTTGAAATATCACTTATCTTGGAGTTGCACTAGCCCTGCTCAGATGTGTCCTTCACAATTGCACTTGTGGTGGAACCCACTTTGGATGTGTGCTTCAGCTTCTTTGCTTCCACCCTTTGGAACTCTATCCCACACTCTCTTCACCATACTCCCTCCCTTGCCACCTTCAAGGCACGTCTCAAGGTCCTCTTCGACCGTGCTTTTGGCTGCCCTCCTACCATCCCTGATCCCAACCTCCCCCCTGTCTGGGTCCAAATCCCTGACTGTCCAGCACCTTGGGACGTCTTCCCATGTGAAAGGCCCTATACAAATGTAATTTTGTATTGTATTGTGCTCCTCGTCATCATTGAAATAACTTTTGCTTTTCTGATTGACTAACTCTTCTAATGAGTGAGTCTTCACAGAACTTCCACATCTTCCAAAACTCAAGTTAAGATTCTACTGTGTTTTTAGGAAACACTCTAACAAGATCTCTTTATTGTGCGTTATCGTTCTCCCTGTCCTGACCAACAAGCTCCAAGATAAAATTGGTCATTCACTTCATGGCTGTTTTTGGGACACTGCTGTGCACAAATCGGCTTCCAAGTTCACCTACAGGTACACAGTCACTAGGCTTCACAGTAACTTCTGTGAGGTGTTCGGAGACATCTCAATAATGTGATGAGGAGCAACGATTATCATTAACCCTGACAA